ATGAGATCATCAGCAGCAGGTGTGCAGACAGCTCAGCAGGGAGGATCCAGGGCGGACTCTGCTGGAGAAAATGTGTATTTCTCCAGCTCCCAACAGTACCCCCCCTCAACGACCGCCTCTTGGCGGTGCAGACGAGGTTGAAGGGAGGGAGCGCTCATAATCCTCGATGAGGGAAGGGTCGAGGATGTATGATCCAGGAACCCATTGTCGGTCCTCCGGACCGTAGCCCTCCCAGTCGACGAGGTACTGCCAACCGCGACCTCGCCGACGGGAGTCCACGATCCGGCGAACGGTGAAGGCCGGATGTCCATCGACTTCCAGGGCGGGTGGAGGGGAGTCGGACGGAGGGCAAAGGGGACTAGAAATGACTGGTTTTACCTGGGAGACGTGAAACATGGGATGAATTCTGAGTGTCGGGGGAAGTTGAAGACGGATGGCGGAGAGGTTGATGACTCGAGTGATCTTGTACGGACCGATGAATCTGGGTGACAATTTGCGGGACATCCCCTTGAGGGGAATGTCCCGGGTGGACAGCCAGACCTCCTGACCGACCTTGTACTCGGGGGCAGGACGTCTCTTGGGATCCGTGAATCTCTTGGAGGTCTCGGAGGAGCGGTTGAGTGCTTGGATGGTCTCTCTCCAAACACGCTGGCAGCGACGGATGTGATGATTGACAGTCTTGACCGATATCTCTCTCTCATCTGCGGGAAATAGAGGTGGTTGGTAGCCGAGACTGACCTGGAAGGGGGATTGACCGGTAGATGCAGACTTGAGTGAGTTATGGGCATATTCTATCCAGGTGAGATATTGGCTCCAATCGGTGGGGTTGTTGGAGGTGAGACAGCGGAGGGTGGATTCGAGGTGCTGATTCATCCTCTCAGTTTGACCGTTTGACCAGTGGATGATAGCCAGAAGTTAGTGACACTTTACAATTGAGAGCGGAACAGAAAGCCTTCCAAACCTGCGAGATGAATTGGGGTCCACGATCTGAGAGGATGTCCTGGGGGATACCATGGAGACGGAAGACGTGCTTAATCAGCAACTGGGCGGTTTGATAGGCCGTAGGAAGCTTTCTGAGAGGGATCAGGTGACAGGACTTGGAGAAACGATCTACGATGGTTAAAATTGTGGACATACCTCGAGACTCTGGGAGACCAGTGACGAAGTCAATGGCAATATGGGACCATGGACGTGTGGGCACAGGGAGAGGTTGCAGTAAACCGGAGGGTGGTTGATGTGAGGCCTTATTCCGTGCACAGGTGGAGCAGGCTGACACATATTCCTTTACATCTCGGTGAAGAGTGGGCCACCAAAACCGTCTTGAGATTAGTGAAACTGTTCGGCTCACCCCCGGATGAGAGGAGAATTTTGCTGAATGCATCCATTGGATGAGGCGAGACCTGACAGACGAAGGAACATAGGTGCGATTAAGTGGACCATTACCTGGATCAGGTTCCGTGGCCAGAGCAGCATTGATTAGATCTGAGATCTCCCAGGTGACCATTCCCACAGTACATGAGGCAGGGAGGACAGGTTGAGGTGACTCGGGTTGATCCACAGCGTAGAGACGAGAGAGAGAGAATCGGGTTTGATGTTCTTTGATCCTGGTCTGTAGGAGATAATGAGGTTAAAGCGTGAGAAGAAGAGAGACTACCTTGACTGTCGAGGAGTAGCTTGTTTAGCGGACTGGATGTAGGCGAGATTTTTATGATCAGTCCACACTAGAACTGGATGCTCCGCTCCTTCGAGCCAGTGTCTCCATTCTTCCAGGGCCAACTTTATAGCCAAAAGTTCACGGTCACCAACGTCGTAGTTGTGTTCTGCGGGAGAGAGCTTACGTGAGAAGAAGGCACAGGGGTGGATTCGTTGATCAGAGTCGAGTTTTTGGGACAAGACTGCCCCCACGCCGGAGTCAGAAGCGTCAACCTCTAGGATGAATTGTTTAGAAGGGTCTGGTTGGATCAGCACTGGAGCTCTGGAAAACAAGGTTTTGAGTTTGTCAAATGCAAGTTGTGCCTTGGGGGGACCATTGGAAGACTTTCTTGGATGAAGTCAGGGCAGTTAATGGGAGGGCGGTTTGGCTGTAATTTCTGATAAACCTCCGGTAGAAATTAGCGAAACCCAAAAATCTTTGTAACTGTTTGCGATTTTCTGGAACAGGCCACTCCAAAACTGCTTTTATCTTTTCTTCGGAAGGCTAAACCTGCCCGCCCTCGAGCACAAACCCCAAAAAGGTAACTGAAGATTGGTGAAACTCACATTTCTCAGCCTTTACAAAAAGTTTGTTCTCCAGCAGTCTCTGAAGAACCAGGTGGACATGTCTCTTATGCTCAGAAAGATCCTTGGAGTAGATTAGAATATCATCTATGTAGACGAACACGAACACATTTAGAAAATCTCTGAGAACATCGTT